TGAGCTTTTCAGACCCATCGTGAGCACTATTGGATTTCCTATATACAATTTGGCAAAATTTCTGGCCTCACAACGACAAATGCACATTGGACTCACTGCACACTATATTAAGGACTCATCCTAATTTCATAATCATAGAATGATTGTAAATTCCTCAGGTGGGAATCCTAAAAAAAATAAATTGGCTTCATTATCCCTGAACAGCTATTGATATGCATTTGAATATAGGATGACACTATAGTTCAGCACTATCTATTCAAAATATTAATAATGTTATTAGTGGGACACACAAAAGAAGAAAGCACCTACCTACATATTATCTCCAACTTTGTACATAGCTTTTTAGGGAGGTCCACTGTATCCTTCAAGAAAACAACTTGCCAATGACAAATGCATATATACTATTGTGAACTGCAATAAACACAATGTATCCCAAATTATCCTGCCATCATCATCATCATAATCATGACAGGGTTCATATTGTGCCGAATTTCCCCCATGGTTATAAAGTGTCATGGAACTATTTTGGCTGAATTGTGTCTAAGACATACCAATAGTTATGTGTCTGTAGTAGATAAAATTCATAAAACAATTCATTTGAAACCTTGTGTTGCACATCACAAATTATACACTAATAAGAATATTTAACATTATTATCTTAAATTGAATTCTTTCTGAAGTGGTCATGCCTTTATTTAGGTTTATGGTAACTGAAAGGATCATTAGCTTATTAACAGTGAAGTTACTCATGGACAGAAAGATTTTCAAAGTCAAGTGTTTGCAAGATTGTGGGCACACTAGCTCTTTGAGGTGATGCCATCTAATTACATATATAAATATCTTCCAGTGTTCAAATATTTGTGAGGAAATTTCTTATGAGTGTGACTAATACCACTGGCTTAATGTAGACAAAGTGCAGGTGGAGGTTGTGCAAGCTTTCCCATGGATATCTGCCAATGCACCTGAGTAATTTCAACCAGAAACTTCCCATTAGTGGAAAAATCTGGGCAACTAATGAGCAAGTATAACCTGCAGCACATAACTGAATCCTGTGCGAATGGATGTTATTACTACAATGCACCTTTTTTTAATGCATGATGGGATGCATGCTGTTTTAAGAATATTTCTGATCGGGTTTTGGCATGTGTCTCTTGCAAAAGAATTGACTTCAATTACCTTTATATTCCTGTTCTTGAATTCAGGATTCTAAGTTGTTTTCTTCCATAATTAAACTATGTCGTGATAATCCAGATACCTATACATTTTTTCTTGTGCTGAAGCTGGCCATGATGCCTGTTGAAAAAAAAGGCATAATGAAAAGGACTATTAGATAGCAAAAGAAGGTTACAAAGGAATTATTGCTGTTGTGCCTTAAATCCGCCGAGTCAAAAGGGATTTTTTTCAACAGGGGATAGTAACATAATCTAAAGGACTGCCTGCACTTCCATGAATATACAAGAACACTGTAACTATGGTGGAGGAAGGATACTTCTCATTACTCTGCTGTCTGAAATGTGGAAAATCATAATGCAAAACAGTATCCATCCAGATTGTAATATCAGATGTATATGAGAGCTACTGACTTTTTTTGACATGATGAAAAACAAATCTTCTCAAACACAGCTTTTATAGGGATCCTTTTGAACCGATGGATTTTGATCATATATTGTGCTTTTGATACTGTTATTTGGTCACTTTATTATTTTAGTCATTTGTTGTTTTGTCATTTTATTGTTATTTTTAGCAACCCTAGTGGTCCCCCTTTGGTTGGAAGGACAAGATACTAAAATATTAATAAATAATATATTTTTCAAAATCCTTCCTTTCTCTTGCTAGTAGACTTCACTTTCCAGCTATCTGCTTTGCAACAGGTGTAATTTAGATCACAAAAAATTCCAAAGTACAGAAAGTAGTTTGAAAGAAAAGTTAATTGAATTTCAAAGGAAGAAAAAAAGCTTATTGAAAACTTAGACATCATTTCTTGGTCAGGCATGCAAAAATTCTTAAGATGCCATCACATGTTCTCATAAGTTGCTTAAAAGGCTAATACAAAAACTTGGACTGCAGTGCCCAGAATCTCTCAACCAACAAGCCCTCTGAAAAAAGTTTAGGTAACAATACCAAAATAAAAATCCTAAGGTTCTACAAATTATCAGACTAGGTCAGTAAGGAAAATAAGTGGAAAGCTTGCATTTCCAATGTTTCCATTAGACAGTATCACTTTTTTTTCCAGAAGAAATCAGCTAGCGCGTAACAGAATATGGAGAATAGCACCACTTTTTCATCCAGGTTCAGACATGTTCATCACAAGTTTGTCAGTCATCCTTTTAGATTATCATACAGTGACACGGCTCTTCCAGTTTTATTGCAGTTTAATTAACTGTAGTTGATTTCATAAACTGAGAAACATAATGAAATCCCAATATTCATACAGAGATTGCTTCTTCAATAGAGAATTTGTCATGAATGTACCATGTTTGTATCTTCAAAAGAAGAGCCTTCAGCCATATTAAGTAAATGACTCTAGCTTCCATCAATACAACAAATAACTTGAAGAAACACCAAATGATAGAGAGAGTACCTGGGGATTCCTCTGTTTCCTCTCCTTTAATGAGGGTGATTAGTCTAATATTGCCTTTTTTAATAGAGGTGAATAACCATGGTACCTTTTTATTTTGGATTAAAGCCTTGATTTATGCACTGCTGCACAGCCATAAAAAAATCTCATAAGTCTTTTATAAACCCTGACACTTGTACAAACAGGAAGAAATGTGAGTGCTCATTACCAAGTTCATCAAGCACTTTTGCTATAAATTATCCCTGTAGTAATGTAGATGATGTGAAAAAGAATGGCTCAAACCTGTAGAATTTTGTGACTATAATTTTTATCTTTCTCTGTATTTGGTAGCATTTTTGTACAGTCTTCATTTTGCAGTAATTCCTTTTATTTATTTATTTATTTAAAAACATCTGGTCCACATGTCTTATATAGTGTTGGATGGATATTGAAAAAATGTGGAAGTTTAATTTGTGTGGCCTTACTATGATGATAAATGGAAAAGAATCCAAAATTACAAAAACATAATTTTGTAAATATACCGCACAGTGTTGGAAGAAAATAAAGAGCAAAGTGTTTTACACATTGTGTCAGTGTACAGGTTTTTCCATCTTCTGATGCTGCAGTTTTGATGCCTCAGTCTTTGTTTGCAGATTATAGACAAGTTCTATTTAATCAACAAGAGGTTTCCTCTTTTGTCAGGTCTTCTTGCCTACAGAAAGAACAGACCTCTCCTTGAATCACTTTAAATGAATGCAAAAGCTCTTTTAGCTTTATCACACAGAAATGTCATAAACTTTACAGCTGATTCCACTTGCAATGGTCCCTGACCCATTTGATAACTGGGAGCTTCCTGCATATCATATGTGAAAGGCTTTTGGGTGTATTGATTTGAGTGTTGGACTAGGACTCGGAGACAAGGTCCAAATTCTTATTCAGTGTGGAAACCCACTAGGATGCCTTGAGCTCTCTCCTCCCCTAAGAGGAAGGCAGTGGCAAATCTCCTTTAAATAAATCTTGGTAATAAAGCCCTAGAATAGGGTCACTGTGAGTTGGAGTTGCTTTAAAGCAGTGGTTCCCAACCTGTGATGCATGGATCACCAGTGGTCCGCAAGAACTAAAATATGGTCCATAGCCTCACCATTACTACATCGTGTTAACAGGAGCAACTGGTCTTGCAAAACCCTCTTATCATTCCGAGGCTTATTAAATATAGTTTTCTGTGGGCAAGTAGATGACGACTACTGGATGTCATATGTTCTGTATCAGAAATTAGAGCCAATGTGGTCTATCCAATGCAATTTTCTGAATCAGCATCCCAAATAACCAAAACCAAATCTAAAGTTGGCCAAAAACTGATTCGTATCCCTTTTGGTACTAATGTTGGAGAGTGGTCCCTGATCAAAGTGATCCCTGGTCAAGTGGTCGTTGGTCAAAAAAAGGTTGTGAACCACTGCTTTAAAGACACAGAACAACAACAATAATAACAATCACACATGTGGTCAGCAACACTCATCCCACTTCCCTTATATTTGCAATGTTATGCATTGCTGTGTGACAACATTTACCACTTTATTTTGTCGTGTGCACCACAGGGAAGTAGTTGCATGTGAAAAACTGTTTTGTCACATGAAAAATTAAAAGGACTCCAATGTAGACTATGTCTCTGTCTAACCCAATAAACTAACAGTACATCGTACTGGTTCACTCAGTCTCTCTCTTCAGTGGGTATTTGTAATTTACATGGAGGTAGGGAATTATCCTTTTAAAAGATACATCTTTAATGTTTCTTTCCTTAGAACTATATTCTTGTTGAGTGTAAAAAGAAAAGAAAAAAGACAGAAGACATGCTTATTGAAAAGATGTGTGAAAGCTTAGTACTTAGTATAATAATAAATGTGAAATGATCCAAAATGACAAATACATCCTTTTGTAAATGTACTGCACTGAGCAGGGATAAAATAAACAGCAAGATATGTGATGCCAGGATGTCATATGATCAAAGAGAATACATTGAATAGCTCATACCTATTATTTCAGATAAAATGAATAATTCAGTACAAAGGTGTTGTGATCGCTTCTGATGGAGAGAGAGAAAAAATGTATGTATGACTCAAAGATTTAGTGACAAGGAAACGCAGTGCTGCTTTTAAATAATAATGTCAATTCTGAGTGTGAGGTGATGTACAGGTTTTGCTAGTGCTATTTTTCCAAATAATTTGAATGGAAATATTGGATTGGCTAACCTTATGTCAGGTCTGTTAGTTAGATAAACCTTCCAACTGTTCCAAACTGAAGGATGTATAGTTGGGACTGAAAGCATCTGCTGCTTTTTTATTCAGCGTTTTGTAAAATATACTATCATCACGTTTTAAAAATAAAATGATTTATTAAACTGAAAGGAGATCACAATAAAAAAATACATGGCTTTGTCTTTTCACAGGGAGCTTCATCCCAGTAGGAAATCCTTTTAGCCGAACTTCATCAGCTGGACTATGCATGGTAAGGAATACCTGCTTTTGCATATATATAAAAAAGAATATAAACATTTAAAAATCCTTCAAAAGTTATCATTGTACATTGTGCTTCCCTTTAAGGATAAAAGGACTGCCTTCTAAAAAAATAATCCTTCATGTAGGCTTTCTGCCTCCTATAGTTGTTCTCTGAAAGCCAAAGAACAAAAGATCCAATATTATCTATGCACAGTATGATTGTAATTCATTAGAATGATGTATACCTGATTTTCTGTCTTCAGTATTTTTTAAGATTCGTAGTTATGGAGAACAAGGCAGAGATGACAGAACTGGAACTCAGATTGGAAGTTAGTTGTGCTGTAAACTGAACAGATAAAGGTTGAAATGAATTTAACTTCTGTTAAATGATATGTTATGTACAGTAACTCACTTGTATAATAATTATACATTGAAATCATTGTGAGTTTTTGTTTATTTTCAACCTTCTTAAACTTATGTGTCTGCAAAATATTTTCCAAGACTGTTGATTAACAGGCTAAAATCAGTGGGTTCACACTTTGGAATTTTGCATCTTTGTGGGAAATTTTGAAGAAGGGAACAATAATTTTGATTGTGATGTCAACTCCCTTGTTCCCATTATCAGAAAATTACAAATACTGCTTTAAGAGTCTTCCTTGGCTTCCAGGGGTCCCACAGACAATTCTATCTTTAGGCTCCTGCACTAAATCTTTGTTGCTTCACAAAGAATATTGGCATGATTAACTACATTTTTAGCTTCTAGCTAAATATTTGCTAAAATTCAGTACAGTGGAGCCCCCATTTCCTCTGGGTTCCTGGATCCCCCATGGGCTATTTAGGCTTGCTATGTACAATGATGTAGGAAAATGACGCCCCTTATATAAATCAAAGCTTGGGATTAAAAAATTCCAGCCATAGATGGTTGACTATGGATGCAGATTCCATGGATACAGAAGACAAACTATATTTATATGCTTAAATATAAGAATCATCTGCTTCCTATTTACTTCAGAGCTTCCTTTGCTGTCAGCCTCATACACTCATAATTTTTATAATCTAGTTGGGAATTCAAAACATAAGCTGTTTTGGCAGTGGAGTTTCTATCATGCACAACAGGGTCTCTGTTATTTTTTAATTTCTAATTTACTGGCCTTCTCTTCTAATTATGTCCCTGGGTTTATATTTATATGTTGTTTTTTGCCACTTAGTACTGAAACTAGTCTTGATTGATTGATTGATTCTGGCTACATTGGCTTGCAAACACTCCTGAGTGACAATTCTATTCAGGTATCTTGATCCATAATAATTTTGACTAAAGAGGGAAAATGGAGGAAAATGGAGTGGGAAATCCATAATATAGCATTCATTAAGTTGTCTTATTTGATGGGGGGCACATTAGTGATAGAAAACTTCTCCTAACAGTATGTAAATTGACATCCTTTAGAGTTGAAAGTGAAGTGTTTCTGATTAAAGAAGAATTGATCAAATAGTTTTGGAGTGTGCCTGAATACATCTTAGCAGTTGAATTATTTTACCTACTTTTCCATTCATCCTTTTAAAAAAAAACCCTATAGACTTTGTCATAGCAGCTGTGTTTGCATTTCTTTTTTGTGTTTGTACATTGCAGGACTCACTAAAGTGCAGCCTGGCACAGCTTTTCCTCTAGACAGATTATAGATTCCCATGCTCATTAAATGCTTGAGGACTGTAATCAAATGAGGATCATAGTCATCTGAAAACTCAGGAAGGCAACCATGCTAGTAGTGGTATAATTTAATGATCGAGGCTCCATAAAGACCAAGGCATAACAGTGGTTCTCTTATTTCTTAAATTCTAACTTTTAAACTTCTAGTACACCTGTGTTTTTTTCCTTCTCAGTTAGGCTCTAGATAGTTTGTTTAGTGCTTAGACCATAGGTCTTTCACAAATAGGACAGACAAATAAATGTATAAAAACCAGGTTATAAAATGCAATACAAAATACACTATTAAAATAGTATTTAAATCATTAGAATCATTAAATTGCTACATAAATTGATAGCGAGATACACCCTTAAAATACTGCATCTATCTATATATCTAGTTAGGTTGTATCAATCTTTTATCCATGCTTCTAATTATGCTTCAAATTCTAATTAGTGGATGAATTCCAGTTGTAGTATGGGGACTTGTCCATTGATATGATCTCACTTGATCTTCTGTATCTGCCATCATCTACATTTGATTGATTCTTATTTGATTATTTGATTATTGTATGTATATGATGTATATGTATATGATGCATATGACTTACAAACAGGAAACAAAGTGAACTACAACCCAGTAACAAGATTAAACAAAATTGAAATATCATTTTAAAACCACCAATTAAAATGTACAATGGTTTTTTTTTTTAATGTACAAAAGTTAAAACGAGAGTATCCCTCACACATTACCTTAAGAAGGCACCCTGCAAACTATTAGTCGTGTTTGCCTGGTGGGGAAAGAAGAGCATGAGAGTAATTGCGGCCTCACCATAGCCTCCTTTAGGTACAATGGAAAGCTTCATGACTCTCATTACTCATGTAGCCAGTTCATCTTTCACTGTTTTTGGAAGCCAGAAAGGTCAAGGATCCTGTACACATGTGGTGGCTCTTGCCTCTCCAAGGGTTTTGTCCTGTCAGGCTGCACAAATGAAACATATTAAGTAATGCACAACAAACAGGTGCCAAAATTACTACTGGAGCTATATCAATCACAGCATCCAAGTCAGAACACATCTAAGCTATTTTGTCTGTAAAGTATCTTCTTCACATAGTACTTTTAACTGGAATACATTACCCCCAAATTACTCTGCAAGATTGAGGACCTTTTTTTAGCATTGGCAGAGATGGTGCTAAGTAAAGTACAGGCAAAAGAGAATTAGAAAATATTGCCCCCCCCCCGCCTCAGCTTTGCAACATTGAAAGTACTCTGAACTGAATTCTGTTTAAGAAATGCTTGACCCAACAGAAGAGAAGCTGATTTCAACACACTATTTTTCTGTTGCAGAACAAGAGTGGACATCTCAGGCTGCATCTACTCTGTAGAATTAATGCAATTTGACATCACTTTAATTTATTTATTATTTATTTATTACTTGCACTTGTTAACCGCCACTCTCAGCCCAGAGGCGACTCGTGGCGGTGTACAAAACATAGAAAAGACAACAATTTACAGTGGAACAAGACCATCACACAACATATAAAAATCCGCTTCGTCTAGATTAGGGTCATAGTCAGTCTCATCGTCATAGTCCATTCCGGTGATCATTCCAAGGAAAACATATAGCACTAGCTGAAGGCCTTTTCGAAGAGCCAGGTCTTCAGGCCCTTACGGAAGGCCATGAGGGAAGGTGCCTGTCTGATTTCAGCAGGGAGGGAGTTCCATAGCCGGGGGGCCACCACCGAGAAGGCTCGCTCTCTCGTCCCCGCCAGGCGTGCCTGTGAGGCAGGCGGGACCGAGAGAAGGGCCTCCCCAGATGATCTTAAGGTCCTCGTGGGCTCGTAGGCCGAGATGCGGTTTTCAAGGTATTTTGGGCCGGAACCGTTTAGGGCTTTGTAGGATAGCACCAGCACCTTAAATTGGGCCCGGTAGCAAATCGGCAGCCAGTGGAGCTGGGACAGCAAGGGCGTTGTGTGGTCAACACTCAATGCTGGGGATGTTGGGAGTTGTAATTTGGTAAGGCATCAGAGCACCCTTATAGATAAGCCTAAAATATTTTAAATCTACATCTTCAGGATTCCACAGCATTGAACTATGGCAATTAAAGTGATGTAAAACTGTGTTTATACACCCTCAGTCCTTTGTGCAGTTGCAAAGAGTGTTTGAATAAATTAAAGTACTATTCCAGAAGCACTTTCATTTACTTTGCAAATTATTTTGCTATACAGATATGTTTATTGGTTTTAATATGGCTTTGTGATTATGGCTCTGGTGGGCCATTCTCCCAAAAGGAGGTGGGATATAAACAAAACAATACAAACAAATTGCATGCCACTCAAGGTATAGTTAGTAGAAGGATGGGAGAAAGTGAAGTAGTAGTTGTAGTAATATCAGCCATGATAATGTAATAGTTAAAGCAACAATGAAAATACGTGGTTTGGTAATGGCACAGTGACAGACAGGAAGGTGCTCCAAAAGGTCACCTCTTCTGCACATTAGCTGCCCTCTCCCTTTTTTGGATTAACTTTATAGGTCCCACAGCTCAGAGCATTCTTGGGAATCCATCTCACCGGGCATATTCTTTTTTTGAATTACTGTATATACTCGAGTAGAAGCCTAGTTTTTCGGTTCTTTTTTTAAGCTGAAAAAGTCTCCCTCAGCTTATACCCGAGTCAAGGTTTTTTATTATTTCACTCTATTATTATTATTATTATTATTATTATTATTATTATTATTATTATTATTATTACATTAATCATTTTACTCCTATTATTATTACATTTATTATTTTATTCTTTATTATTGTTATTATTACATTTCCATTATTTTACTCTATTATTACTGTTATTATTACATTTCCATTATTTTACTCTATTATTATTGGAAGGATATGTAAACACATTTACACTGAAGAAGGTTAGAATAATGCTTTAATCAGAGGACAGTCTTATCTTAACTTACAGTTTTATTCAAAAACATTTAACCTACTGATGCCTCAATTAATGCAATGTTACTGGTATCTATTTTTATTTTGGAATTTACCCGTAGCTGCTGCACCCCCCCCCCCCTCGGCTTATACTCGAGTCAATCCGTTTTCCCAGTTTTTTGTGGAAAAATTAGGTGTCTCGGCTTATATTCGGGTTGGCTTATACTCGAGTATATACGGCATTGCCATCTGGCAGACAGTACAGAGTGACAAAGACAAGGACAAATAAACTGATAGATCGTTTTTATCCTAGAGCTGTGGCTATGTTGAACTTCAAGATTTTGCACTGATGTGGCATTGGGGGTTGTGTAGTGGTGGTTGGAGTGTAGAGGGATGGGTGTGTTGTTTTGTGATGTGTGCTGGGGAAGGCATTTGATTTCATTGTGAAATAGCAAAATGACAATGAAGTTATTCTATTCTATTCTATACCAGAGTCAGAGTTGTATCCACAGTTGTCATAGTTTAAATAATTTCAACACTTTTTAAGACCATTAATATTTGAGCATATATCTTAACATATTTATTCCTCATTTTACATCAGTGAAGGGGGACACACACATATTTAAACTGGCCCGTTATTATCTCCATTCACAATTTGCTTTCAGAATTATTTTAGCATAAGGCTTGTAAATCAAATTTTTCTTCGTGGTCTCTGCGAATGCACACTTGTGGAGAGACTGCGCCTGTGCAGGCTCCAACGGAAACTTCTACATTTTAAAACTTTTGAAGTTTTGGCGGTAACCCCGCCCAGCCCCGGCAGGGGATAAAAGGGCGCCCCGCGCACACCGATCCAATTCCTTTTTTTCCGCCGCACGGCTCACTTCGGTACTTCTAGTTGGTTAGTGATTCTAGTTGGATAGTGATTCTAGTGATTCTTCTTAGATTTCTTCTCTCAAGTTGTTGACTGGATTATGTCAACAACTCGCTTCAAAAGATGCGTGAACTGTCCGAGGAAGATACCTGATTCGGACAAGCACGCTCTTTGCCTCTTGTGTCTCGGAGAGGCACACATTACCTCTTCGTGTCGTCATTGTCAATCTTTGACGGCACAGTCCCGTAAGAACCGGGTCCATCGACTTCGATACCTTCTGTACCAGCAGACGTTGGCTCCGGTACCTTCAACATCGACATCGGCGTCGACGTCAGCCGTGGTATCCAGGCCTTCGACATCAGCTTCGACCTCAAAAGCATCGACAACAGCATCTGTTGATCCCTCGGCGGAGGCCGGGCCTCGCCAAACAAGGGCGAAGAAGGCCGCGCAGAAAAGGCCGAGAGCAGCTATGTCGACGACTTCGAAGGCCTTAGTGTCGGCGGCCGCTAAGGCTACGAAGCCTACAAAACAGAAGGCTCCATGCACGGCCACTACCGAGACCGTACGCATCCAACACTCGTCGGCCAGCTCCGTGGCGTCGGTGAGATCGATCAGGTCCACGAGGTCGACGTCGGCGACTCCGCCATCTTCCACGGCGGTTCGCATTGCCTTTCGCCGGTCTCAAGAAGAGTCTCGGCGTGCTTCCACCTCTTCCTCCGTCCCGCCCACCCCGGGCAAGTCAGTGTCAAAGTCTGCTCAACCGCCGGCAAAGAAGAAGAAGGTGATGCCGCCTCCGTCCTCCTCTTCTTCTTCTTCCCGGAAGCAAACCACCGCCTCCTCGGCCACCTCGTCGGCGAGGTCATCGCCATTGCAGCCTACAGAGCCCCAGCCGGCCCCACAGCCGGCTCAGGAGCCGCAACCTTTGCCGGAGCAGCCTTTGGAGCAGCCCGTGTCCCCGGTGATCTCGGTGGACACGGTGATCGAGGCACCAACTCGCCATGTGACAGCCAGACAGGAGCTTTTCCCGTCGGTCACGACTTTGACTACTGTGACAGCCAGACAGGAGACTTCTCCAGTGCTGGAGACTCCGGAAAGGGGCAGACAGACTATGAGATTGGCCCGTGCCATTCAGGCCTCGGCCTCAAAAGCTCCCCCAGTGGCTCCTCTGCAGCTTGCGAGTCGGGATGTCTCCTCATCCCCTCCTCCCCAATCTCTGGCTGCTGACGATGAAGAAGAGGATGGCGAGTTACCGGGATCGGTACACTCGGGATCGGTGTTGTCTCTCGGGATCGATCCCTGCCTCCTGATGATGAAGAGGAAGATGGCGAGTTACCGGGATCGGTACACTCGGGATCGGTGTTGTCCCTCGGGATCGAGAGATCACCTACCCACGACGCCTATGAGGCTGATCCTCCATCTCCCACTGACAATGTCCGAGCCTTTGCGGATCAAATGGCTCGCATGGCTGATGCTCTAGGCCTGGAGGTCAAGCAAACTTCCAAGGCAGTGCTGGACCCGGTGTTTAAAAGGGTGCAAGCGGAGTCCCCACCCGCTCCTCTCCTACCCTTCCTTCCCTACCTCCTTGAAGTGATCCAGGGCTCTTGGAAGACCCCCTCCTCCATCCCTCCAACCTCCAAGAAAATTGAATCTTGGTACAGAACGGACGATGAGGGCTTGGAGTGGCTGAAACACCATCCCGACCCTAACTCGGTGGTCGTGAAAGCGGCTCAGGGGTTCGGAAGGCAGTCGTCGGCGCCGTCCGACCGTGAAGGGAAGAGGTTCGACGCAGTGGGCAGGAAGCTTTACTCCGGTGCCCTCTTGCTGGCCCGCATGGCGAACTATGGGGCTTGTATGGGAGCGTACCAGCAAATTCTCTGGGAAAAAGCAGAACCCTTTTTCCAGAGGATGTCTGCCGAAGATCGTGCTGCCATGACCACCCTGGCTCAAGAGGCGAACTCTCTGGCGCATCATCAGATGCAGATGGCCAAACACACGGGGGACACTGCGGGCAAGATGATTGCTCACGCTGTGGCAATCAGGAGGCATGCCTGGCTGAGATCCTCTGGCCTCTCTACATCATCGAGGCAGGTGATCGAAGACCTTCCGTTCGATGCCCTGGGGCTCTTCAACGCCGGAACGGATGATAAGCTGAAGTCAAATCATGACTTCAAGACCTTGGCTTCTAAGTGCGGTTTCGAAAATCAGAACCAGGCACAAAGAACCAGATGGTTCCAATACAAGTGCTGGCACACGGTCCCGTACCGCACCATTCAATACCGCCATCCAGCCCGTCCCCTACAGACCTCCCAGCAAACCCACCCTCAACAATCCCAGCAACAACGGAGGCAGCATCAGCAGCAGCGTTCACGCTCTCGCCAGGCTTCAGGGGGCAA